CCACGATGCATGCTCTCAACTGCGGAAAAAAAGGTGTGAAGGAAGGAAAAAGGAGGAGACGAGGCCGGGGGACTGTGGAGTACCTCTGTGTTCCAGAGGAGTGGAGGAATTGTCGTCATCTTCTCCCCTCTCTTCATCATTAACCGTTCCTTGTCATTTTGTTTGTTCTCTCTCTCTCTCTCTCTCTCTTTCTATATATATATATATTTATTTATCTCGCTCTCTCTCTCTCTCTCTCTCCCCCGTTTCTCCCTCTCTCCTATCACCCTCTTAAGCTATGCCATCAGTTTGCCAGCAGCTTCACTAGTCAGCTCAATCTGCCATTCGTTGGCCATCTTTGCCTGCTCAGTCCTGGTACGTCCTGGCACGCCCTGGTACTATTAGTCACGCCTTGCTAAGATTTGGTAACTCCCTGGTGAATCCTGCCAACCTTTGCAAAGCCATGCCCAGCCTTGCTAGACACTGCCAAGCTCTACTGGGCCTGGCTAGCCTCAGGTGGGCCTTGGTCAGCCCTGCTAAGCTGTGCCAAGCTATGCTAGGCTTTGCTCGTCCCTGCTTAGCTGTGATGAGCCTTCGTTGAACCTGGCGGGCCCTGGCAAGCCCCTAAGCCTTGATACATCTTGCCAAGCTTTGCTCAGCCCTGGTAAAGCCTTGCTAAGCCTCGCCAAGGCCTGGAAGGCGCTGCTAAACCCTGCTGGGCCTTGCTCATCATTGGCAAGCTTTGTTAGGACCTGGCTGGCCTCGGAAAGCTTTAAATCCTGCGGGGCGTTGCTGAGCCTTGCGCAGCTCTGCTGTTGTACACTCTGCTAAGCTCTACTGAGCCCTGCTAAGCACTGCTGAGCCCTGGGAGGCTCTGCCGTTGCAAGCTTTGCAGAGCCCTGCTGGGCCTTAGAAAGCCTTCGGCCCTGCTGAGCGTTGCTGAACCCTGCCAGGCACTGCTAAGACTTGGTAATCGATGGTAGCCCTCGGCAATCTCTGCTAAGGCCTTGTAAACCTTGCTGCACCCTACTGGGCCTGCGGATCATTGCTAAACATTGATAATATCTGCTTCGCCTGGTAAGCGTAATCCCTAGTAGGCCATGCTAAGCTCTGTTCAGACTTGCTGCTCCCTGGCAATCCCTGCCACACGGCGTGCGCCTTCCTAAGCCCAGCTAGGCCTTGCTCAGCCTTGCCAAACTTTGCCCATCCTACCTAACCCTTGCGAGGCCTTGAGCCCTGCTGAGCTTTGCAGAGCCATGCGTACACTGTTGCGCTTGGTAAGCCTTGAGAAGCCTTGCTAAACTTGGTAAGCCTTGTCAGGCCCTGGCAAGCCTTGCCGGGCTATGCCCAGCCGTTACAAGCTTTGCTAAGCTCGGTTGGGCCTTGCAGAGCCTTCATCCACGTTGGGCGTTGCTGAGCCCTGCCAAGCACGGCTAAGACTTGGCACGCCAGGTTAACCACTGGTACACTCTGTTGAGGTATTGCAAAACCTTGTTCGGTCCTACTGCTAAGCTGGGTAAGCGTAGACTCTGCTAGGTCATGCTAAGCTTGGCTAAAGCTTGCGACTCCCTGGCGACCTCTGCCAACCACTGGTAAGCCTTCCTAGGTCCAGCTAAGCCCTGCTCAGCCTTGCCAAGCTTGGCCTGTCCCACCTCATCCTTGCGAAGCCACAAGCTCTGCTGGGTTTTGCTGAACCATGCTAAGCCTTGCTCAGGCTTGGCAGGCCTTGCTAAGCTGGGTAAACCCGACGGAGGCCCCGTAAACCTTGATATGCCTTTCTAATTCCTGATACACCCTGCTGAGCATTGACATGCGTGGTCAGCCTTGCCACGCCCAGCTGACCTTGGCACGCCTCGTTCGACCCTGCTTAGTCCTGGTGAGCCTTGCTCGGCCTTGGCAAGCTTTGCTGAGCCTTGCTAAACATCGCGAATCCTTAAGCCCTGCTGAGCTTCGCTGAGCCCTGCTAAGCCATACTGGGGCTTGGCTAGCCGTGCAAATTCTTGGTAAGCCCTGCTAAGGCCTTGATACGGCCTGCTGGACTTGCCAAGCACCGCTAAGCCCTGGCAGGCTCTACGAAGCCCTGATAAGTCTTGGTACACCCTGCTGAGCCCTGCTGAGCTCCAGTAAGCTTTGTATGAATGCGCTGTTAAGCTCTGCGAAGCCCTGCAGAGCTTGGCAAGTCTTGCTAAGATCAGGTAGGCCTGGCGCGCCTTGCTAAGCCCTGACCAGCATTGTCCGTCTGAGCCCTGGTATTTTTTGCTCCGCCTCAGCCAAACTAGGCCCTGGTAGGCCCTGCTAGGAGGCCATGCTCGGCGTTGCTAAGAATTGCGGCTCCCTGGCAACACTTGCCCAGCGCTGCTACGTCTTGCTAAGCACAGCTGCAGCTAGGCCCTGCTTAGCCTTGGCACGCGTTGCTACACCATGGTAGGCCCTGGTAAGCACTTAGTAAGCTTTGCTGAGCCCTGCTAAGCCGCGGTATGGCCATGGCAAGCTCTGCATCATAACAAAGAGTTCTTGGTAGGAGATCTTCAATCGGGAGGGCGAGTAGAAAGAGGAGGGGGGGAGCAGTGATGGGGGGAGGGGGAGGAGGGGCAAGAGGCAGGGAGGGGGGGGGGGGTAGGAGGAGGATGTGGGGGTGGAGGAGGAGTAGGAGGAGGAGGAAGAGGAATAGGGCGGAGGAGGCCAAAGGAGAGGGGGGGGGCGATGGGAGGATGAGGGTTTTCTCTGCCTCCCCCCCCCCCGAAAACAAGAAGAACACGTAACATCCGGGGCCGTCGATCGCCGTTCAGTCTGTTTGTGTTTCTTTTTTGTTTCGGGGGGGGGGGCTGAAGGGACACACAAGGGCCTCTTCTGGGAACCACGGGAATTACGGGTGTGGCGACAATGTCGGTTACTGATGGAAGCAGCTATCCCCGCTGCTTCTTGTTGGCCAGCTCGGCTTTGCTGTAAGCCTGTGGCTACACGCCTCGGGAGATTCTGCCAATCTAATCCTTGCGATTACCTGTGACAGACTCAACACGCACACACCCACACACTACAAAGTTGCTTCAACTGCTGGGCAGCAAAACTTCCACACAGTGTGCAACACCAAAGCTCTAAACCCGAGTGAAGCCTTAACGAATGAGACTCATGAGCGTAACCCCCAGAGATGTGCACCCGCTGCCCTGGGGGGGGGGGCTCCGAAGAACCCCACATTAATTAAGGAGAAACAAGGAAACTCGATCCACTCCCGTCTGCGAGCATGAGACGCAGGCCCCTGACATCCGGAGCAGCTCCTGACATTTTCCTTGAGGCAGTGTGAGGTAGAACTGGAAGCACACACACACACTGGCCGCTGGGGGCCTAACTACAGAACTCACTGTTTGCTGACGCCTACGCATACCACCCTCCTCGGCATCATGACGTTCTTCAATCTTGACGGCCTCGAGGGTGCTCTGGAGGATTCTCATGCGGACTGCGAAAGCTTGCGATTCAACTGTATGTATGCGTGCACGAACTGACTCAGCTAAACGGGCATCTTCCGCTCCCGAAGCTGCGAAACAATCAGCAAATATGCTACCGAGTGCCAAGAACCGTGGTGCAACGCGTCTCGCCACTTGTTCACCCTCGAGGTGAGAATGAACGAAAAGAACAGTACAATCAAGCTTCCACCAAAAGGTCGGCGTCGGGACCTGAGGGAGTGAGCCACCTGCGCTGAAGCCAGGAGGAGGGGAGAAGGAGGAGGAGGATAGTAAAGCAAGACGCAGAGCGCGCAGAGCATTCAAAGACGCACGCGCGAACTGAGTGTGAAAGTCTCTCGCGCACGGCCCCGACCCCGAGGTACTCCACAATACCCCGTTCTCGAGGAGAGAGGGGAGAAGGAGGAGGAGGAGGAGGAGGAGGAGGAGGAGGACAAGCTGGGTGCGCTCGCATCATTTTTGACGTCCTACCCCCTTCCCCCATCCCTTACCAGTGCGTATAGCCCATCTCTATTCGCACAGTCGGATGTCGAAGAGGATAGCAATACCCAAAGGGTGCGCGATGCATGGCATGGTGTAGCATTGCGTTGCCAAGCATTGACTATCATAGTGTTGCAGCGGAAGGCATGGCATCGCATTGCGGTGCACAGTGGCACATAGCCTAGCATTGCATGGCATGTCATTGCATTGTCTAGCACTGCGAAGCCCAGCGTTGAATATCACAGCATTGCAGAGCAAGGCATGGAATCGCATAAGAACCGCACATGCCATAGCATTGACTTGCACGCCAACGCTGCAGGAACGGTGTAGCCAGAAAACCATGGAGGACCGACAAGTTGGAGATGAGACAGGTGCTTTAGCGGGAGCACCAATCGGAAGGACCGACGACGCGAAAAAGAGACCAGCGCTGCAGCAGAAACGCGATTTAAAAGTACCAGAGGCGCGGACATGAGACCAGCGCTGCAGCGGGAACACCATCTTGAAGGACCGAAGACATTCGGAATTGAATAATACATAAGATAGACAAACATTGAAATCCTGTGTGACACATCAATGCGTGGAGAAGGCGGGACATCTTCCGGAGAGAACCAGAGGGGAGAGAATGATAGTATCCATACTGTCTATCGTGGAAGAGTAAAGCAGGAAGCCCAGAATCGAATCGACAAGTCGGATCGGCGATCGAAATGAGTCGGATCGGCGGGAATCGGCAGCCAAGTCGGGAGAGGTCGAGTCGGCGGAAATCGGCAGGCCAGTACGGCCCCCATGGAGACACCGAAAGCCAGATCGAACTCCGCGGCCGAATCGAATGGGAATCTCGGAACTGATCGAGATCGAATCGAACCGAGCCGGAGGAGGCGAGATGAAGCCCTGGGAAGGCCTGACAGGGAGGGGCGAGGGTGGAGGGAGGAGGGGAGGGGGAAAAGCCCCTCCTCCTCCTCCTCCTCCTCCTCCTCCACTTCCTCCTCCTCCTCCTCCTCCACTTCCTCCTCCTCCTCTGCTTCCTCCTCCTCCTCCTCCTCCTCCTCCTCCTCCCCCTCCTCCTCCCCCCCGGGCAGTTGCGGCCCACTGGTTCCACTCGAAGGTGATGCGCGCCGAGCCGAGCTGCCTCTCCCAGCACGTCCCGTTGCGCACGCCCTGGGCGAGCAGATGCGGGCGGGGTTGTTGCTCACTCGAGAAGGAGAAGGAGGAGGAGGCGGAGGAGGAGGAGGAGGAGGGGGAGGAGGAGGAGAAGGAGGAGGAGGATCGAGGCGAGGGTAGGATCGACATTTGAGGTTCTTTGGGGGCGTCGGTCTTCCATTCCAGGTCTCGTGGGGTGCCCTCGTGGCCGCGGCTATGGATCCTGCTAATGCTACTGATCCCCAAAGGCCCAGACCTCCCAGACCTCCGGCGTTGTTATGTTTTCTCAACCTGGGCCCCAAAGGTCCCCGACCCCCTCCCACGGGCTGGCTTTACATCCCAAGTCATCTTGTTGGCAGTCACGAGGCTCGGCTAAGGCCCCGCGGAGGCCGCAAATGGCAGAAACCGTCCGCTGCGTTTTTTGTTGTTTCATATGAGCAGGAAAAGACGCGTGGAGTTGGGGGGATGGGGGAAAGGGGACGACCCAGGATCGTCTTTTGTCAAGCACATGTGTTGGACCCCTCTTGGCGGTCGAGGATGAAGGATCGAGGATGAATATTTCGGAACGTTCGGGGTCCCTTTTGTAGCCCTCCCGAGGCCTCAAGCGGCCCCCAGCGTTCAGGCCACCTCCAGAAGCCTCGTGGAGACCTTCGGGGACCTCTGAAGGTCCCTCGTGGAGACCTTCGTGAAGAGGGGGATGCGTAGATTGGCAACAGAGTAGATCCCCTGGCTCCGCCCACCCCCAGAGACAATGTCTGGCGCAGGCTTGAGGAGACAAAACAAGTGACCCCTTCTGGGGGCCCTTGTGAGTCCAGTGCCAAGGTTGAAATTTGTGGAGGGAGTGAAGGCCGAATGCAGGGTCGAAAACGAAGTATCGTTTTGACAATCTACCAATGGAGGGATGTATGGGGGGAGAAGGAGGCAATTCCTGGGAGGTCTTCGTGGGATCGAGCGGGGACGACTAAGCCCAATCAGGGGGCTATTAAATCGGGATCAGCCCGAATAGTCACGAAATCAAGCTGGATTCAACCAGACTTGATTAAACTACGCCAGATTATAAGCCAGAGAAAACCACATGTAATACAACGTTTTCCCATTTCATAATTTGATAGATGCCCTGGTGCAGGAATCGCCTGTGCGCGGCTGCAGTAGTGCAGGCAAAGCGGGCATGGGTTTGATCAAAGCAAACACCGCGCATGGCGCGGGACAAGCACCGCGGGCGCGCCCAATAATAGGGCGCAGGCATCGCCTGTGCATCTTGGCGCGATCGCAGACACCGCAGGCATTGATTTGTAGGCACAAGCATGCTTCCCCGGTTGGGGCTACAAACCTGACCGGACAAGAACGGGAAGCGTCGCTTTAGTCCACCAAGCATGTGGAAAATGCTCTGTTGTTGTTATGCCGCGCAGGTATGCCGTGGCGCGCGTGTCGGCGTGCGTGCGGGGTGTGTTTTGCTGTGCTCCTGTATGTTCTGCCGTGCTCCTGTTCTGCCGTGCTTCTGCGTTCTGCTGTGCCTCTGTGTGCTCTGTGTGCTGTGCCGTGTTCCTGTATCTGCCGTGCGGATCGTCGCGGTGGTCGTTTTGGCAGAGCTTCTGGGCGCACACGGCAGAAAAAGATGAGGAGCACGGCAGAATAGGCCCCAAGAGCGAAGGAGCACGGCAGAGAAAGACAAGGAACACAGCAGAATAGACCCCAAGAGCAAATGGGTACGGCAGAATACACCCCAAAAGCTAAGGAGCACGGCAGAAAATGACCAGGAGCACGGCAGAATAGACCTCAAGAGCTAAGGAGCAGGCAGAAAAAGACCAGGAGCACGGCAGATTAGGCCCCAAGAGCGAAGGAGCACGGCAGAAAAAGACCAGGAGCACGGCAGAATAGACCCCAGGAGCTAAGGAGCAGGGCTGGATATGCCTCAAGTGCGAAGGAGTACGGCAGAGAAAGACCAGGAGCACGGCAGGATAGACCCCAAAAGCTAAGGAGCACGGCAGAGAATGACCAGGAGCACGGCAGAATAGGCCCCAAGAGCGAAGGAGCACGGCAGAAAAAAAACAGAAGCACGCCAGAGTAGACCCCGAGAGCTGAAGGAGTGCGGGAAAATAGACTCCAAGAGCGAAGGAGCAAACCAGAAAAAGACGAGGAGCACAGCAGAATAGAGCCCAAGAGACAAGGAACACGGCAGAATATGCCCCAAGTGCGAAGGAGCACGGCAAACAAAGACCAGGAGCACAGCAGAATAGGCCCCATGAGCGAAGGAGCACGTCGGAAACAAACCAGGAGCATGGCAGAATAGACTCCAAGAGCTGCCGAGCACGGCAGAAAAAGACCAGGAGCACGGCAGAATAGACCCCAAGAGCTAAGAAGCACGGCATAATAGGCCCCAAGAGCGAAAAGGACGCCAGAAAAGAAGACCAGGAGGACGCCAGAAGATGCCCCAAGAGCTAAGGACGACGGCAGAAAAGACCGAAACACAGCAGAAAAGGCCCGAGGAACAAAGGAGTACGACAGAAAAGACCAGGAGCACGACAGAATAGGCCCGAAGAGCGAAGGAGCAAACCAGAAAAAGACGAGGAGCACGGCAGAATAGAACCCAAGAGACAAGGAACACGGCAGAATATGCCCCAAGTGCGAAGAAGCACGGCAGAAAATGACCAGGAGCACGGCAGAATAGACCCCCAGAGCTCAGGGGCACGGCAGAAAAAGACCAGGACCACGGCAGAATAGACCCCAGAGCTAAGGAGCACGGCAGAAAAAGACCAGGAGCACGGCAGAATAGGCCCCATGAGCGAAGGAGCACGGCAGAAAAAAAAACAAACAACACGGCAGAATAGACCCCAAGAGCTGAGGAGCACGGCAGAAGAGGCCCCAAGAGCGAAGGAGCATGACAGAAACAAAAAACAAGAGCACGGCAGAATAGACCCCAAGAGCTGAGGAGCACAGCAGAATAGGCGCCAGGAAAGAAGGAGCATTGCAAAACACGACCAGTGACCAGGAGCACGGCAGAATAGACCGCGAGAGCTAAGGAGCACGGCAAGATAGATGCAAGAATACAGCATAATACGCCCCAAGGAAGAAGGAGTATGCAAGAAAAACACAAGGAGCACGGCAGAATAAACCCCGAAAGCGAAGGAGCACGGCAGAAAACGACCAGGAGCACGGCATCACAAGCTCCAAGAACAAAGGATTGTGACAGAAACTGGCCAGGAGCATGGCAGAATAGGCTAGAAGAGCGAAGGAGCACGGCACAAAAAAACAAGGAGCATTTCAGAATAGACCCCAAGAACGAAAGAGCACGGCAGAATAGACGTGAAGAACGAATGAGCACTTTTTTCGCCGGCCACGCCCCGCCCGATTTGTTTGAGGATGTATGCAGCGAGAGCGCGATTTTAAACATTAGAGGTATTGAAACCGCCACTCCAAGATATCATTTTTTGTTAGGATGTCTCAGGCGAGACGCTAGTTTTTGAACATCTGTCGAACTCGCGGGTTCCCATGTTTAAGGGATATCTCAGGCGAAACGCTCATTTTTGATGAAATCGATGTTGTGAACATTTCATTTCTGTAAGGATGTCTCAGGCGAAATCGCCATTTTGGATCGTCTCGAGGGCGCTCCTGGGGGTCAAATTTGGGCTTGTTTGGGGCCTTTGGGGGCCTTCTTGATGCCTTACAAAACCGTTACAGTCCGATGTTGCACACATTCATTTTTCAGGATGTCCCTAGCGAAATCGTCATTTTTAGATGACTGGCTTAAGCCATCTAGAAGCCTTTTCAGGAGCGATCCCCAGGCGATGTTAAAACAGCAGTTTTCAAAACGATGTTGTTCGAGTTTTTTTTTTTGAAGATGTCCCTAGCGAAATCACTATTTTCAGCAACCTTAAGGGCGCTCTTGGGGCCATGTTGTGGCCTTCTTTTGCTTCCTGATGCCCTCCTCAAATCATTACGATGCGATGTCGCACGCATCATTTTTTTGAGGATGTCCCTACCGAAATCGACATTTTTAGAAGGCTGCCTTGGGCCGTCTGGAAGCCTTTTCAGAAGCAAAGTCAAAACTATGTAAGAACAACAATTTTCAAGTCGATGCTGGTGTATGTTTTCACTTTTTGAGGATGTCCCTAGCGAAATCGCTATTTTCGGAAGTCCCCCAATCGGTCTGACAGCCATCTTGACGTGCTTTTTGGCCTCTCATTTCGTCATCTTGAGGTACTTCGAGAACGATATCAAGACGACGTTGAGGACATCTCATTTTGTTGAGAATGTCCCTAGCGAAATGCAAATTGTCTGCCGTGCTCTTCGTTCTGGTCCGCCGTGCTGCCGCTCGTTTTCTGAGGATGTCCCTAGCGAAATCGCAATTCTTAACATAAGAGTTAGTTAAAGACTTCAGTCGTCATCTCATTTTTTCGAAGATGTCCCGAGCGAAACGCAAATTTTCACAGACGGCGAAATTTCGCTGCCATCAACTTTTCGAGGATGTCTCGAGCGAAACGCTTGTTTTTGTTAAACGCGATGTCGCGAAGATCTCATTTTTTGTGAGGATGTCTCACGTAAAATCGCCATCCCGAGGAACCTGACCGGACAAGAACGGGAAGCGTCGCTTTAGTCCACCAAGCATGTGGAAAATGCTCTGTTGTTGTTATGCCGCGCAAGTATGCCATGGCGCGCGTGTCGGCGTGCGTGCGGGGTGTGTTTTGCTGTGCTCCTGTATGTTCTGCCGTGCTCCTGTTCTGCCGTGCTTCTGTGTTCTGCCGTGCCTCTGTGTGCTCTGTGTGTTCTGCCGTGTTCCTGTATCTGCCGTGCGGATCGTCGCGGTGGTCGTTTTGGCAGAGCTTCTGGGCGCACACGGCAGAAAAAGATGAGGAGCACGGCAGAATAGGCCCCAAGAGCGAAGGAGCACGGCAGAGAAAGACAAGGAACACGGCAGAATAGACCCCAAGAGCAAATGAGTACGGCAGAATACACCCCAAAAGCTAAGGAGCACGGCAGAAAATGACCAGGAGCACGGCAGAATAGACCTCAAGAGCTAAGGAGCAGGCAGAAAAAGACCAGGAGCACGGCAGATTAGGCCCCAAGAGCGAAGGAGCACGGCAGAAAAAGACCAGGAGCACGGCAGAATAGACCCCAGGAGCTAAGGAGCAGGGCTGGATATGCCTCAAGTGCGAAGGAGTACGGCAGAGAAAGACCAGGAGCACGGCAGGATAGACCCCAAAAGCTAAGGAGCACGGCAGAAAATGACCAGGAGCACGGCAGAATAGGCCCCAAGAGCGAAGGAGCACGGCAGAAAAAAACAGAAGCACGCCAGAGTAGACCCCGAGAGCTGAAGGAGTGCGGGAAAATACACCCCAAGAGCGAAGGAGCAAACCAGAAAAAGACGAGGAGCACAGCAGAATATAACCCAAGAGGCAAGGAACACTGCAGAATATGCCCCAAGTGCGAAGGAGCACGGCAGAAAAAAAACAGGAGCACGGCAGACAAAGACCAGGAGCACAGCAGAATAGGCCCCATGAGCGAAGGAGCACGCCGGAAACAAACCAGGAGCATGGCATAATAGACTCCAAGAACTGCCGAGCGCGGCAGAAAAAAGACCAGGTGCACGGCAGAATAGACCCCAAGAGCTAAGGAGCACGGCACAATAGGCCCCAAGAGCGAAAAGGACGCCAGAAAAAAAAAACAGGAGGACGCCAGAAGATGCCCCACGAGCTAAGGACGACGGCAGAAAAGACCGAAACACAGCAGAAAAGGCCCGAGGAGCCAAGGAGTACGACAGAAAAAACCAGGAGCACGACAGAATAGGCCCGAAGAGCGAAGGAGCAAACCAGAAAAAGACGAGGAGCACGGCAGAATAGAACCCAAGAGACAAGGAGCACGGCAGAAGATGCCCCAAGTGCGAAAAAGCACGGCAGAAAATGACCAGGAGCACGGCAGAATAGACCCCCAGAGCTCAGGGGCACGGCAGAAAAAGACCAGGACCACGGCAGAATAGACCCCAGAGCTAAGGAGCACGGCAGAAAAAGACCAGGAACACGGCAGAATAGGTCCCATGAGCGAAGGAACACGGCAGAACAATAAAAAACAACACGGCAGAATAGACCCCAAGAGCTGAGGAGCACGGCAGAAGAGGCCCCAAGAGCGAAGGAGCATGACAGAACAAAAACAGGAGCACGGCAGAATAGACCCCAAGAGCTGAGGAGCACGGCAGAATAGGCGCCAGGAAAGAAGGAGCATTGCAAAACACGACCAGTGACCAGGAGCACGGCAGAATAGACCGCGAGAGCTGGGGAGCACGGCAAGATAGATGCAATAATACAGCATAATACGCCCCAAGGAAGAAGGAGTATGCAAGAAAACCACAAAGAGCACGGCATAATAAACCCCGCAAGCGAAGGAGCACGGCAGAATATGCCCCAAGAGCTAAGGAGCACGGCAGAAAACGACCAGGAGCACGGCATCATAAGCCCCAAGAACAAAGGATTGTGATCCCCCCGCGCTCTGTTCCTCAGTTTCCCAGTGTCTGATGCCAGCGCCGTCTGGAGTCTGACCGCACACGAGCGTGGGCGAGCAGAGGCACGGCGGCGCACACTCACCCGATGTGAAAGAATGAAAACGGCTTGGGTGAGGCCACGGGGAGCCGAAAAACTAATTACGAGCGCGCATAGATCATTCACGTACAACTCACACGATCCCCCCGCGCTCTGTTTCTCAGTTTCCTAGTGTCTGATGCCAGCGCCGTCTGGAGTCTGACTGCACACGAGCGTGGGCGAGCAGAGGCACGGCGGCGCACACTCACCCATATCACCCATAACATGATGTGTCACCTACTTTGCTGTGTTGGGAGGGGTAGCTACACGCTTGCCACGGGCACTGAACGCAAGCGGCGGCGGCGGCTGCACCGCTCGGCCTCTAAGGATCGAGTCCTTGAGTGCGTGTGCCTGCTCCTCGAGCCAGCAGCGCAGCGCCAGGGGAAGCAGGGCGTAGTCTTTCATCATCATGCCTGATTTCTCATAGCGCTGCACACTTTTGGTAGACATCCAACCACCACGGCGTTGCACTTCGTACAGGTTGCGGTGCTTTTTATATATATATATATATTTATATATATATATATATCCCAGGAGGCGCCCGCATGGCGCAACTGGTAGGGTACAATGTCTTGGCCGAGCCGTCGGCCTTGCTTACGAATTTCACGCACTAACTCTGGATAGGTAAAATGCCACAAGCACTCATTACGTTTTCCGACGGCTAGAATCTGAAGAACTTTGCCCATCCATTCAAAACCCTGAGTGTCCCACAAGATGGTGTCGTCCTGAGTTCCCACCTTCGAGACCTGGTTGAGGTCTGACCTGTGCGCCAGCACACGCCACATGGTGTCGACCTTCATGGTAGGTGGGACCAGCGAGCCCCTGGTGAGCTGCATCATAGAGCCTGGACGCAGGTAGGTGCAGAAAGCGATGATCGTCCAGATGGCCATGTCCAGGTGACCTTCGTAGGCCAGCAACGCGGCCAACCCTGCCACCGTCGGCAGGGTCAAGGGCTGCCGACTGCGTGGCGGGTCCAATTTGGCCCAGCCCCTGGCAGCCCGCCAGGCTCGCGGAAGAGAAAGGTCGCCTAGCTTGCCGAAGCGAGGTTGAAAGAACACCACGGCTGCGATCAACTTCTGGCCGATGCCCGCGTCGTAGCCCAGCATGTACATGTGGGTCATGAAGGAGACAATGGCCACGTCGAAATCCTGCACTTTGTCGGTGTTCAGCTTGCGCTCGTCGACGTAGTCCACCAGGCCTCGATATAGCTTTCGATATTGCGCCCAGGTTCGTTATCCTACCGAGCTTCGTTCTAGCACCGAAACGCGCTTCATACCTGGCTATTCTGCCATCTTCGCATGGTGGATCTTTCGCCTCAGCACGCGATCCTGCACGAGCGGGTTGCCATCCTCCTCCGAGGTCGTGCCGTCCGAAGCTCCCAGACGGTTGGCATCCCTCTCCGCTTCCTCCAACAGCACGGGCAATGGGAGGCGATCGCGTCGCTGTTGTAAAGTAGCCTGCCACCTCTTCTCTAGAGGCAGCGGGTCCGTACGACGAAGAAGCACACGAACTTCCCTCTCCTCCGTCGGAGCTGCTCTCTTGGCCTTCCTCACCAAGGACATGTCGAGCCCAATCAAGTAAAGAAGTAGAGCATGGTGGGTCTTCATGCTTGGCCAAAACGGCTACAGAGCTCTGCCGTTCTCGAGCGAGACGGCGTATATCAGGCGTGACGCTCAACTCGACCGTGTCCCCCCGTCGCAGTCCGGGGTCCCTGGAAGGTTTGTCGGAGCTGTTGAACTCACTCGGGATCCACCTGAACCCCGCGGAGAGGTTTCGCGACAGCGCCAGCGCCGCCGCCCGCCGAACCTGCACCAGCAGAGGAAAGGCACGGGCCCTGGATCTTGCAAAGCTGAGCGTGACGCCGAGATTGTCCCCAAGGGCCAGCAGACGACAGCTATGTGCTCCAGGTTCCAAAACCACATTAGCGATCCCAAGGACTCCAGCTCTGGCTTCCCCCTCATGCACAGTCATCTTTCTCCTCCAAGAATGGCAGAATAGCACTTCCCAGTCTTTCCCACAAGCCCCTCGAGCGGAACCTCAGGAAACAACAAGTCTTGCTCCCAAAGCTCCGACACGTCCTCAAACGATGGCGGCGGCGTCACAAACACCAGGGGGTCATCAGGGTCGAGGCAAGAAAGCGCATGCCCGCGAGCCCGCGCAGCATCCCGACGAACAAATCTAGCTCTCTCTTGGACTCTCCCCTGAGCGGCCGCCCAGGCAGGAGACCTAGTAGCAACTCAAGCCCCAGCACCCTCAGGGCAGGAGTCATACGTCAACACTTCTCCAAGCCAACCGCGGGACCAGTCCGAGCGAATAAGAGGCATGAGGCAGAGGAAAGCCACGAGCTCCTCACGCGCTGTTGGCCACAGTGGAGCCCACGAGTGACGGCACCGCCGAGCGAACTTGTAGACCAAGGCGAAGCAGGAGAGGAGAGGGCGCTGAAGCATAGCGAGGTAGGTGCAGTGGCCCAGAAGAACCTCGAGGGCTTTTCCAGTTACCTTGGGCGCCTTCAAGAAAGCCTCCAGAGTCCAACGAATCTTCCAGTATCGCTTCCCAGCAGACCTGAAACACTTTAGCGCTCCGTTGAACTCGATCCCAAGAGCGTCCCGAACTTGGCCAGCCTCCTGGACTTCGTGACACTGCATTTTGTTAGAGTTAAGAACGTTTTTGATGTTATCAAGCGACTTCTGGACCTCAATCTTGTCCGCTCCCAAGACCCCCACGTTGTCCACATACACGTAAAAGACGGGCGCGGAGTCCTTACTTATGATGAGCCCGCCCCCCCTGTCCTCCACCGCCACAGAGCCTTCCATTCCTGAAGCCTCCCGAACCAGGCGAGCATTGATACGCTGGGCCCAGAAGACTGACCAAGAGAAGCCCATGGGGAACACAGCCATGGCGGCCCACACAAGCCCGTCTCCAGGCACCTCCCGTCCCCGAACATGTGCCAGACCTAGCTCTCGTGCGCGAGCGGGAGGTAGGCAGAAAAAATCGCCCAAGTCGCTGTCTATACCGATTCTGTGGAAGCAATTGTCCACGTCAAGAGACGCCTCAAACAGCTCAACACCTCCCTCAACCTCCAGGCGGGCGAAACTCTCGGGCGTGGCCAGTAGAGTACTAGGAGGATCTCGGAAAAGCTGGTTAGTACGTCTCGCATCGATGATAAGTCGCTGTCTTCCATCCTTTTTTTCGGACAAAGAACGGGGTGGCAATCTCCTTGGGCGTAGTCGACCACCTGATGAGACCACGCCCGTGCAACATCTTCAGAAAGCGAACGTACTCGTGCCGTCGAGTGCGAAGCTTCTGGTCAAACTACGGGTTAATAGACTCGCCGTAGTCTCTCATTTGCATCACTTCCTTCACATCTCTCATCATGCTCTCCCTAAGAGTTCACCACCGCCTCCCTGTCCTCCTGAGAAACCAAGTCCTGAAGCAACCTCCTGTCCTGGACTCCCTCGGGCAGAGAGACGAGGGCTCGATCGAACTCGACGACTGTGGTCATAACCACACTTGCTCTGGAGGAGCTCGCGCACGGCTCCCTCCTTATCCAAAAAAGGCGGCACAGGCGGCTGTTGGGCAACTCGTCCCGCGACAAAATCATGAATCTCGCTCACCACCTCTTGGCGAACGAGAGGGCTCGAAGCTCGGGAATATAGCCAATTGAGGCCCGTCAAAACCTCCCCGAACTCACGCGACTGATGGCTCCTGAGGTTCGCTCTCCGCCTGCACCTTCTCGAGAGACGCGTCGGCGGAGAAGCAGAGTGGTCGCAAAACTCGAGCGGAAACAGCGGCACCTGTCGTGCCTCCTGCGCATCACTCTCGCCTGTCAGCGTGCGTGCCGCGCGGCGACTGCGGCGCGCACTATCAACGGTCTTGCTGGCAAGGATGGAGGCCTCACTCATCTTTGCTATCTTCCTTCTCCTTGCCCTTCCCTGCGGACTTCCCGCGCTTGAGGGCGACCTTGGCCTCGTCCCTCAGAGCCTTGGCCTTGCTAGTCTGTTTGTCGATCTCAGCCTCCTCTCGCACCTCCTTGGCCACGTAGGTGCGAAGCGCCGGCGCCGCAAGCTGTGTTCGGCGATTGTAGCCCGAGAACTTATCAGCAATCTCGTAGTTCGGGTTCATGGGGTTCTTACCGTGAGCCTCAAGTATAGCCTGCCATCTCCGCCCCAAACTCTCGAAGGCCGCGAGCGAAGCCACGTTGAGCTGATCGTGAGAGATAGCCAGCTCGAAAACCTCCGCCATCACCCGCATCTCATGAATAGAACGATCGTTCTCGCTCCAACCCGCCGTCTGGAGGTGGCGCTCCAGCCAGAACGCGGGCACCATCGCCAGCTGGGCGAACGACATCATCAGCCACGAGAAAGTGCGAGGGCCATCCAAAGGCCAGTCCGAGAAGGCGTCCTCGCTCCCTGCGGTTGAAGGCATTGAACTTCACCGACAGCGTGCGAACATCCTCGTCCGCCTTCTTGTCAGGCCCCTCACCCGCGCCAGGAAGCTGTGGGCCTGCAAGAGCCCCACGCAGGGCCTGGAGCCCTGTGGGCGAGCCAGGGGCTCCCTCACGCTCCTCGGGCGTGTGAGTGCCTCCCAGGCCCACCAAAAGCAGGGTCTTGCGGCCCGCGAAGTAGCCATCGAGCTCTTCCACCTTGATCCGTTCGAGCGCCGCGACGACTGAGCCAAACTTGGCGAACCCGCGGTTCCCGAGCCTGCGCGCCACGGACTCCTTGGCGACCTGAATGCCGATCCTCGCCACCTCCTGGCCCCCGTCGAAGACGGGCTCCGACGCGACCCAGACCTCGTCACTCTCAGGAGCGTCGGCAAGGTCAGCCTGCCCATCAGCATGCTGCGGCAGAGGATGAGCAGGACCTCGTGATCCGAGGAGGGGCCGACGGAAATTCCTGATCGCGAACGTGTCGTCCTGCACTCTCGCGTGCGGGATCTCATCGAGCCCTTCGTCGGCGATGACCTGCGACGCCTCGGCCCTAAGTTCCGAGAGCTTGTCCCATGGTACCTTATGATCGAAACGGTAGATGGGCCTCGGAAGCCCCCTCGGCACCGCGCGACCTTTCAGCAGCTCTACTCTGATGGGCCCGCGATCTCCCGTGGTCCTCCACTCCTCCGCATCGAAGTCAGGTGAGGCCCCAACCCAGATACGTCTGTCATCCAATGACTTAACTTCCCTCAGCAAACTCCGTTCATGACCGTAATCGTCCCCTTCGTACCAGTAGATGGCATAGCCACCTGGCAGAGCCTCAACGGCCCCCGCCATCACTGTTCAATGCGACCGAACCCTCCTCGACGAGGGGCAGCAACACGACGAGGACAACAAAGCCGAGTGAACAGACCTCCGACTGCTGCTCCGAGTAGTACCCCCAAGAGGCCGACGTTGGCAAGGGAGACGCTGGCGTCCGTGGGTGCGATGAAGCACGTCCTGTTGAAGAAATCGGGCGGCACCTCACACACGGGATGGCGTTCCAGCGGCGGCGGACACACACAGTCAGGAGCCTTTGGACACCCCGAAGGCCGAGGGCAATCACAGAAACAGTCTGGACACTGGTGTCGTGCGGAAAGTGAAGCTAGTGAAGCGAGCTCCCTCGCAAGTCCGACTGCGAAGAGACCGATGCCAACCTCTGGCCTCATGCGTATGAGCCGTAAAACTAATTACGAGCGCGCATAGATCATTCACGTACAAGTCACATGACAGAAACTGGCCAAGAGCATGGCAGAATAGGCTAGAAGAGCGAAGGAGCACGGCACAAAAAAACAAGGAGCATTTCAGAATAGACCCCAAGAACGAAAGAGCACGGCAGAATAGACGTGAAGAACGAATGAGCATTTTTTTCGCCGGCCATGCCCCACCCGATGTTTTGAGGATGTACGCAGCGAGAGCGCGATTTTAAACATGAGAGGTATTGAAACCGCCACTCCAAGATATCATGTTTGTTAGGATGTCTCAGGCGAGACGCTAGTTTTTGAACATCTGTCGAACTCGCGGGTTCCCATGTTTAAGGGATGTCTCAGGCGAAACGCTCATTTTTGATGAAATCGATGTCGTGAACATTTCATTTGTGTAAGGATATCTCAGGCGAAATCGCCATTTTGGATCGTCTCGAGGGCGCTCCTGGGGGTCAAATTTGGGTTTGTTTGGGGCCTTTGGGGGCCTTCTTGATGCCGTACAAAACCGTTACAGTCCGATGTTACACACATTCATTGTTTCAGGATGTCCCTAGCGAAATCGCCATTTTTAGATGACTGGCTTAAACCATCTAGAAGCCTTTTCAGGAGCGATCCCCAGACGATGTTAAAACAGCAGTTTTCAAAACGATGTTGTTCGATTTGTTATTTGTTTGAAGATGTCCCTAGCGAAATCACTATTTTCAGCAACCTTAAGGGCGCTCTTGGGGCCATGTTGTGGCCTTCTTTTGCTTCCTGATGCCCTCCTAAAATCATTACGATGCGATGTCGCACGCATCAATTTTTTGAGGATGTCCCTACCGAAATCGACATTTTTAGAAGGCTGCCTTGGGCCGTCTGGAAGCCTTTTCAGAAGCAAAGTCAAAACTATGTAAGAACAGTACTTTTCAAGTCGATGCTGGTGTATGTTTTCACTTTTTGAGGATGTCCCTAGCGAAATCGCTATTTTCGGAAGTCCCCCAATCGTTCTGACAGCCATCTTGACGTGCTTTTTGGCCTCTCATTTCGTCATCTTGAGGTACTTCGAGAACGATATCAAGACGACGTTGAGGACATCTCATGTTGTTGAGAATGTCCCTAGCGAAATGCAAATGTTCTGCCGTGCTCTTCGTTCTGGTCCGCCGTGCTGCCGCTCGTTTTCTGAGGATGTCCCTAGCGAAATCGCAAGTCTTAACATAAGAGTTAGTTAAAGACTTCAGTCGTCATCTCATTTTTTCGAGGATGTCCCGAGCGAAACGCACATTTTCACAGACGGCGAAATTTCGCTGTCATCAACTTTTCGAGGATGTCTCGAGCGAAACGCTTGTTTTTGTTAAACGCGATGTCGCGAAGATCTCATTTTTTTGAGACCGCTAAGCCTGTATAATATGCAGCCCGCCACCCCCTATAGTTAAGAGATCTCTTACTGATACGAGGAGGATTCAGCCAAAACGTCCAGCTCGCTTCTCGTTCCTCGAAGACGCTTCCCGTCATCCGCCAACCCTCGCTCCCCCAGGGGGTGAAAAGGCGTGTGAGATAATTGGCTGTCCCCCTCCCCCTTTCCCCCTCCCCTGTGGCCTGAAATGTCGACTTGAAGAGGGGAGGGGGGGGGGGGGGCGTGGGGGCACGAGCTCACACCCGGAGGCCTCAGAGCTCCCCAGGGCTCCAGGACGAGGCCAAACGGCCCATGACGGCCCAAACGAAACGCCAACACGGTCCAGGAAAGCGTCGAGATTACCCATGTAGGTAGCACGACCGTGAGTCAAGCAAGCTTCGAGACGGCACGCGACGCGCCCAATACGGCCAAATCGTACTCCCAGGGGACAGCCAGGAAGGCCCCCCAAAGCGAAAATCGCCAAACTCATGTTCAGCATGCTCGCCTTTTGCGTCCTGAGGGCGTCCAAAACGGCCCAAGGGGCTCACACGTCCCAATTTCGCCCTAAGCTGGCCCAGGACGATCCCAAGATGGCCCCAGGGGCTCCCAAGACGGCCCAAGAGAGCCCCAATAGAGGCCCCCAAAGGGGACTCCGAACTGACGTTGCGAGCCTTTCCCATCAATGTGGCCCCAATAGCCCTCACGAAGCCCCTCTGGCCGCCCCCTCGAGGCCCCAAGAGCCCCCCACGAGGCCTGGTAAGGCATTGGTTTTGCTGTAGCGAACCCCCTGTGTAGTGTGGGGATCCACAAGCCACATCTGCTAGCCGAGACCAGTCCGACGCGCAGTGCCGT